AAATGAGCCCTAAAGGTTGTAGCTTGGCCCCCTGAACATCCAGAACCATTGGATCTGCGGCCCATACACAGGACTGTTTGATATGTTTTCTCCAGAAAGCATTTCATTTTATTTTGTAACATTAAACTGAACCTATAAGGTAGAAATACGGCAGCTTCATCTGCTGACTTATTTATTCATGCTCCATGGTAGGGATAAACTCGGGTTCGGACAGAACCCATTCCAAACCTGAGCTTCTCAGCACCTGATAGGATCTCCTCCCAAACACGGAATGAAGCTTCTTATCATCTGCAGCTAGGGAATTTCCCACCCGCAGCTTGACGCAAGCAAAGGGGCGGGGTGCAGTGATGTCATTGACCTTATATGGCTATATGTCTATATTTGGTAAATGGAATTTACCTAATATGGCTATGTGGCCATATAAGGTGAATTACGTCAGCACAAGCCTTCCACATCTTTGTATACCTGCATCTGCAGGTTGGGGAATATCTGATCCACAGCTCATTGGGTGGAAGTGGCCATGGCCCTTCCTTGTTCAGTCAAAACCTGAGCTCATCCCTACTCCATGGCTTTTATGTTTATCCTTCCATCTCTGTATGGTGAGTGAGCTGGAACAAATGTGTGTATATGAGGTGCCGGAATATCAACTGGGGATAATTTACTAAAGGAGTACTTTGCAAAATGTTTGCTTCCTTAGCTTAGAAGATAAAGTAAAGTCTGTGTTTACTTTGAATATACAATCATGAGAAAAACAGTATTTTTGCTTGCACGTGATTAGATGATTGACATAAGCACAAATGCACCTTATTCACTAAGCCAAGTGAACATACACTTTACACAATGCACATGCTCTATTCTTTTGAGGCCCATTCCAATAATATGTTGCATTAATGTGTTACTGTACACCAAGGTGTGTTGCGTTAACACATCCTATTTATTTTGAGTGGGATGGCAGGGCACCTTAGAGAGGAACTTCACCCATATCTTAAAAATGACAACAAGGGCACCTTTAAAAATGTTTAGTAGTGACAATCTACAAGCATATACTTATACATAATAGCAGGCTTTTTATTCTTTGCATACCTTATTTTTCTTTTCCTCCCCATTCTTCCCATGGTTGTCATTTTCACTAAGGGCAGATTAATCCATCTCCCTTTACTTCCTGGAAGTCTGGGTCTCCCTCCTGGAACATGTGACAGTGCACATCATTTGAAACTTTCCCCCTGAGATCTCGGAAAATGTTGCAGATGAAATTGTCCAGGAAGGCACTGGTGATGTAACCTTCCCAGATGCATCTGTGAAGCCAGGACTAAATCACCAGTGCCTCACTCAACCATTAAGTGGAAAAACAGTAATTGTAAGTAAAAGCCAAACATGTTTGTTTAAATGAATGTACGATGATTTCATATCAACAGAGCTGCGCACTGATATGATGTTTGATAAAAGGGGGTAAAGGTCCCCCCCCCCAAAAAAAATGACATTGACCGTTAGGCCTCTTTTACACGGTCCGATCAGAAGGAGATCTGTGCATGGGTCCCTTCCTGATCAGAACGGATTTCACTGTTGTGACATCTTTGTCTGTCCAGTTCGCTAGATGGAGGAAACAAATGAGATTACCTGACCCATGTCGGTCTAAAGGGAATCGGATGTAAATGGACTTGTGTCCATTTACAACAGATTAACCCCGATCCATCACAATCAGGTCCGGCGAAACAGAACTCAGATCTATCTGTTTTTCCGGACCTGGCCGGAGCCTTTGGGTAGCCTTGGTTAACTAGATGTAAACAGATATACAATATGTGCGTTTAGATCCAGCTGCCCATAGACTAACATTGGGCTTCCGATCAGATCCACCTGAAAGACTGACAGGCAGATCTGATCGGAAGGCCAGTGTGAAAAGGCTCTTAAATCAACCTTACTTGTACTTTGTAGGTATCATATTCTCCTTTACAATAAAAGAAAACATTTTATTTTAAAACACTGAAGTATAAAGATGCTAAAAGGGAACATGTCACCGCATTGGTCACTGCACAATGGACAAACAGCAGTTCAGTGAAAACAGCAGCCGGTTCGTTTCTGGATTAATATTGCAATACTATAGGTTGGACTTGATGGACTAATGTCTTTATTCAACCTCAAATACTATGTAACTATGTAACTATGTAACTATGAGCCTGAGAACAGCCAGGACTTTCTGTGACACAATTAGAGGTTTTCTACTGCAGATTACTTAGCAACGGTAGCACACATTTAACTGTAAGATCAAAGGCCCGAAAAGCACACAATCAACAGGGGTTATTAAAAAAGAAAAAAAAATGGAAAGCTATCAATCCGTACCGTAATTTTATTTTCCTGGTGCCTATCCATGGCAGCAAACCCATAATATATACTGCCATGTGGGCACCAGGGGAATGGAAAATTGTATCGATATTTATTGTAATTTTCCTTTCCTGGTACCTATCCATGGCAGCAAACCCATAATATATGATGCCATATAGGCACCAGGCAAACAGAAAATTGTATCAATGCTTTCCATAGTTTTCCTTTCCTGGTGCCTATACATGGCAGCAAACCCATAATATATGCTGCCATATAGGCACCAGGGGAACGGAAAATTCTATTAACAATTACCGTAATTTTCCTTTCCCGGTTCCTATCCATGGCAGCATACTAATATTTTCTGTCATGTAGGCACCAAGAAAACGGAAAATTGTATCAATACTTACTATAATTTTCCTTTCCCAGTGCCTATCTATGTCAGCATACCCATAATATACCCTGCCATCTAGGCACCAGGGTCATGGAAAATTGTGTCAATACTCACCATAATTTTTCCTTACCTGGTGCCTAACCATGGCAGCATATATTATAGGTGTTCTGCATGTAGGCACCAGGAAAAGGCTTTTTTCTTTTATGCAGCTCTTTGGTCTAGCATCTAGTTCAGGGGTAGCCAAACGTTAGCCCTTCAACTGTGCTGATACTACAATTACATCATACCTGTGCCTCTGAACGTCATGCCTGTGGCTGTCAGAGTCTTGCAAGGCATTGGAAGACTTTGACAGCCACAGGCATAACATACAGAGGCAGAGGCATGAAGGAACCTGTAGTTCCACTACAGCTGGAGGGTCGAAGTTTGACTACCCCGGCTCTAGTTCAATCCAAAATAAACACAGCCTTCACTAAGAAAACACATAAGCATGCTGAGATTACTTTATACTGTTTTTTCAGTTTTATTTTTCAAATGTTACTTTGCAAAGCAGCAATGCCTTTTCCCAGCATGCATATCTCCTAAACATTACTCTACCCACATCTGTTTATCGTGCCGTTCTAATGTCATTAGAACATGCCAAATTGATCTTGATCTGTTCCTGTCATTGCATCCTTCCTGATGTCGCCTGCTCTGGTGCAGCAACATCAATTTACCATGACCTGCTTCATCTGTCACATGTCAGGATAGGGACGGCTGCTACAACAGGTATTTCATCGCACACCGTTATGCAAAATCCCAGAGGTGTTAATAGTCAACTAATTCAGCTCATTATACTGGATTAAACATTTGAATCGCAGATGCTTCAGGCTGGCACTTTTCATTTAGCATTCATTGCTGCCTTTACACATCAAATTATTTTTATTACAGGCATCCGTTCCTCTGATCTCCTCTGTTGCTAACAATATACCGGCTGTAAGGTGGCAATTTTTCAGTCTGTAGACATGAATTACTTATGTACACCCAACACTTACCCTTCCCCCACCAATTACTCGGCTTCTTACATATCTTAATTGCACCTGCTCTCTCGTTAACTGTTTATAATAATCAATTCAGCTTTTTTTTCCCCATCTCCAAACCATTAAATAAATATACCTTTATTTTTTTCAATGCTGTTTAAATTCACAAGTTTTTAATTAAGTTACAGATGGCACATAATGAATTCAATAAACAGCGTTGACTATTATATCACGACAAATCAAATCGAAGCAACAGAAAAACAAGTCCGTGTATTTAAAGGAAGATACAACATATGCAAGATGGAATTTTAGTAAGTATCGGATGGTTTTAATTAACATCAAATAAATATTTTACTGAAATTACTGAAATAATTCTCAAATTTAAAGTTACAAGGTAATCATTTGTATATTCTGAATATTGGATATATTTTTATACATAATCATGCACAGTTTATAAATAAAAAATACACACACACACACACACACACACACATACACACACACACATACACATAGCTAACCTTTTTTTAGTTCCAGGTGCAATTGTGGAAATTTGTTTCCTTCCTGAAATTATTTTATATTAAAAAAAATGATATCTGAGCCTTACTGAACTTTTTTGTACTTTTTTAGGAGTTGGCCAACACAACACTTCTTAAGAGTCAAATTAATGGCAGGCAAACAGTTATACGTTCTGAGGCACTGAACCCTAAATTATAAACTGTTTCATCTTTCAACACTTTTATAAAAAACATTAAAAGGCAAAGCAAGTACTGTCGAACTAAAAACCAGCCCGTGTAAGGCAACTGTACAGTTCATATCAAGTATAAAAATTACATATTAAAAGATAGCAAACATTCACAGTTTCCTTTGTTCAAAAAGCAAAACAATATTCAAACAGTCAAAATAAAAGGATTAATAAATAATGCCTTGATTTTTATTTTTTATATCAAATGTACCGTATTAAAGAATTGGTTCTTGAAAAGAAAAAAAAAAAGCGTTTCATAATAAAAAAAATATTACAATCAAAATATCAAAGCACGCCCTCCTTCCATGAGAAGCTTTTCTCTCTCTCTCGTGCTTTTGAGTACTGTACATTAAAAACTCTCAAGTTCTGGCTCATCAGCAAGTTGATCCTTGATCTTTCCTTTCTTTAAAGTGCTGCAGATTCTTTTATCTTCAGTTTTGAGTCGTTGTTGTCTCTTCCATCGAAAACTTGCTGGGATCAACTTTTTGCTTTTTCCCCATTTGCGTCGTCCTCTAGATGCCTGTCATCATTTTTGGTTGTTCTTCACGGGACGTAGAAACGGAAAAAAGGCGAAACACGTTGCTTCAGACAGCTGCTTAAAGACAGCAATATATATATATATATTTATTCGTTCGTTTCTCTCAGCGCTCTCAGTACGGGCCGACGATCACCGCTTCGACTTCTTTGGACGGTCTCCTTTCCTTCACCAAAAAGTTTATCATGCCCTCTGATTTGATAAGCAGGTTGCACCCTAGGAAGAAAATCCCAAAGACAACGGTGAGGGACAGGACGCACATGACTGCGATCTGAACGACTCGCATGATGAAGAGGTTTCTCTCGTCCACAGAGGGGACCTCAAACCCATCGTCTGTGACCACAGAAGCCTGGGTGCAGCAACCCAGGATGTTGCCCAGAGAGTTACTGCTGTTGGAGAGGAAAAGTGCAGCATCTGTTTGGTTCATCTTTCCAAAGTCCTTAGGACACGGCGAGAAGTGAAACAGGTGGTCCTGCTGAAGCTGGAAGAAAGAATTCAAAGTAAAGAGTCCATTAATCATGGGGTTTGCCTTCTCTTCAATCTCCTGCTGTTTGGCACTGAGGGTGGTAAAGGATCAGCAAAGAGAAGTAGAAAAGAAAAATAAATCTCCGAAGCTTTCTCTTGTCGGTCTTTAGAGTGGCCTTTTCCCAGCAGTTTTAATCAGTTTTCTTTTAGTTCAGCCAAGCAGCGGAGAAAGCTGCTGTCTTTATCTGACTATGGTTGTTATAAAGCTCTGGAGCCAACCATTAACTAGAGGGAGGTGTTTGAATTCCATTAACTGACATACTTTTTGCCATAAGGACAGAGCACCACCTAAAGGTAGACTGCTGTAAATACTGAATAGGTCTAGCATGGGAAACTATTGATATATATATATATATATATGTTGTAAAGTAGTCACCGCTCCAAGCTCGCTCCTGTGGTGGACTACATTCTCATGTTCATTTTACTCAATTGTATTGAGATTGTAGTCTATCACAGGAGCGAGCTTATAGTGGTGACTACTTTACAACACACAGGGACCATGGAGAACAAAAGTAGCCCCCCTCCAGAAGGAAGGACAGTGTCAGCACCAATTCAGAGATGATTAGGGGATCTACAACTGAGTGATACACAAATAAAACACATTTTTGTTAATAGTTAAGGTACGGAATTTTTAAAGACTTAACTCTTGAGTTTTAGTGTCCCTTTAAAGAAAGAGGCCTCTGTTTCTGCACATTTACATGGTAGACAACACACCACATCAAGGTATATAACTAGGCTTCTTTTACTGGCAAATAGAACTGAGTTATATATTTGGCACACAATTATACAATTAAAGATGAATTTCAGGAAAGTTGCTAAATACACAACTGAAATACAAATATAGCAGGTATCACGTACCTGGTGGAGGACCGATTAGCTGAGGAGGACTCCCTTGTGGCTTTTGTCTCACACCCCTGGAAGTGGGAACAGGGAGCGAGTAGGCAGAGAGGAGCACGGGTGCCAAGGTGTTCAGACACGGTGCCTGGTAGAAGTCCGGCCACTGGGTCCCTGGAAGCATGAGCAGGGCTGGTTGACAGCTGAGATGTCAGCGTGGATAGCAGCGGAAAGAGAGAGAGGATCTCTGGAACCACCATCCCTCTTCTCCTGTAATTGGCTCAAAAACACTTCCAAAGATGGGCACAGAGCTCGAGGTCAAATTAAAGTCAAGCTGCTGCATGACAAGTGACATCCATTTGTTTAGTCTGAGAATTTTGTTTTGGTGTAATACTTACACAGACTACTGTCCCAATAAAAGTAACAGTGACATAATAATTGTGCTGTACATAACCTGTACAGAGAGAAGAGCAGTGGGAGGGGCCCACAAGCTCCACCCACTACAGGCTTCCTGCAAAAACTACAGAAGGGGGAAGATACAAGACCAGCTACCCTGCACAAGAGGAGAGAGCAGCAGTGAGCAGTCTTTATTACAGGAAGTTCCAAGTTTCACACTGGATTACTGCACAGATCTGGAAGAAATACACAAAGCTCACCAAGATTCAACAAAGAATACACATGACTCTTGTATTTAGACAAAAGCTGCTCATCCCAGAGTTCAGCTTCATGTAGCACTTACAGATCTTGTCCCTTCCCCAGTCTGGATGGGTAAAGAAGAAGCAACAGATGTGCTCATCTCACTGTGACTCTGCTCTCCCTCTCCCAGTCTGAGCTTTGCTTTACACAGGATTGCAAAAAACTGATACAAAGTCAAATGATGGTAAATACATTGCTTGCATTTAAAAAAAGTGCATGTAATCAATACAGAAATGCATTCATTTGTGTCATTTATGTCTATCTGGAGTTCTGCTTTAATAATCAACAGTATGTTCTGCGAGAGGCAATGTCATCGGCAGAATATTGTGCAACGCTATCCCCGAGGCTTAATATTTCCCACCCAGGCATCCTCGAAATTAGTTGTTTGCCTTTCCTTCATGACGGCTTTACATTCTGTGTTCATCATTCTCATAAACCACAGCAGCTCACTGACTGATGTACGTCCTGTCATAAGCATACCTGGCTCACCCGGGATCTGTGAATTAATATGCACAGTGAAAGCTAAAGTGCAAATAAACACCAATTAGCATTCCTAATTTATATGCCATTCCACCATCTCCGAGCACAAGTGTTGTTGAAGTCCTTGGACTGCTCAGACAATGCAACTTGTCATCACTGAACGAGGGCTTCATTGTATTTACCTCAGAACTGCCTGTCTTCGCCATTGATGAAAACGTGACATAAGCACAATGGCTGCAGAGAAAGCCTGCTAGGACTCTGGAAAATGAAAGTTTATTGCTGAAATGAAACTCAACTTTCCATTTAGCTTAAAGGAGAACTATGGGGTTAAGGCTTTTCACCATAGTTCTCCTTAGGGTAATGGGAGGACACAAACTAGCGTCCTCCCGTCACCCTATGCTCAGTATACCGCGAGCTGTAGCTCGCGGTATACTGAGACGCCGCAGCTGAAGCGGATCCCGGCAATTGTGCCGGGATCCGCCCAGCTGCGTGACTGACAGCTGGCTCTGCCTATCTAGAGGCAGAGCCAGCTGTACCTGCCCCCTCCCCTGTCCGTTCCGCCAGTCAGCACTGGCGAATCGGAGCGGGAGGGGGGAATCCAGCCCCTCCCCTGTCACGGCAGAGAGCCGTGACAGGATCGAGAGGTGAGCGAACGCCGGTATGTGTTCACTCACCTCCCGATCTACTGAGCCGACCTGTGACAGTCTCATTGTCACAGGTCGGCTAGAACTATGAGGTGAGTGAAAAACACTCACCTCATAGTTCTCCTTTAATGTGAACATGTGATTTGCCGATACACTGATACCGCCACTAGATGGTGCTGAGGAGCAAAGCCATTTCCATCTCCATTAATACTCTGAGAATGTAATTTGCACAGCTATATGGTGCGTGAATGCGTTATGAATCAACCCCTTGGTGTTAAGGAAGGTGATAGTTTAGTGTATGGTTTACAGGGGTAGTAGAGGGAGCTTTAGGGCTCTTTTTTTGTATTTAGCACGTAAATTAATGTGGCAAAAACTCCCATCAATAGGGTTCCTGGTGCCCAGAACTATCGTACTGCTATAGAGAGAAGCATTACATTCACAAGGATGTGTTTAATAGCTGTACAAGCTTAGACAATGCTCTCATTCAGGCTGTGCTAGGGAAATTACACAGCTCCATTTTGTGGTGATAGTGTTGTGTGAATGGCATTCGGTCAGCTGTACTCTGGGCAGAAAATGTATAAATCCGCTCCTTGCTATAGACCTGTGCATCATAAACAATTGCCATGTGCTTTTTTTAGATTAGAAAATGCTGTTTTAAACTTTTTTTCATCTATGGCTGCAGCTCAGTGCTTCTCCTTTAGTCTCTGCCAGTCATTTCCTGTCTCCATGCACTCCAGCAGGGGCTCCATGTTTTCTCTTAGGGTGGCCTGATGGTGACAACGGTAACAACATGCTTATACAGCTAGCATTGAGTTGCCCTGCTGTGGGCAACTGCACCAGTTGAGATAGAACCTGCCTCAGACACCTTTTAGTCTATACGTGGACAGAACATTGTCACTCCACAACAGGAAGTACCGTGCCACTCATGAGGCCAATTGAGGCAGCTGCCTCAGGAGGCACTCATGAAGGCATGGTGGGGGGTGGCACTGAAACCGGACTGTCCATGCCCAATACTTCATACCCAGTGCATGTTCAGCCCCTGGGCCACTCAGTGACATTGGTTGTTATAGCATAATCACTCATGGAACTGTGCAGCCCAGTATTAGGGATCCAAGAAATCAGATAGAAACCTAAAGTGCAGGTTCAAAAAGAAAAGGAACTATAAAGATAAATGCAAAAAAACAATGGAGAAAGTCCAGGGCATCGTCAGTGCCAAGCTAGAGGTCAGAAGCCAAAGCGGGAAGTCAGCCAAACTAGGCCAGGGAACTCTGAGAGCAGGAGCTGGATGAACGAAAGCAAAGCTGGGGTCAGGAACCAGGACATCAGTCAGCCAGAGCCAGGGTCATACACAGAGAACAAGAACAACAGCAGAGCACTTGGTAGATCAGACCAAACGCAAGGGCGGAGACTGAATGGACAAGCAGATGGTTAAATTTTAAACTAGTGTTTGCATCATAACTTTGAAAGGGGAACTTGTCAGAAGTTTTCTTCAGTAGTTGCAGAAAGATGATGTTTATGGGTTTGGTCATAAGACGGCGCCAAAGAGGAACAGCAATGTCAAACACACTTCAAAGCAAGTTATGCACAGCCTACTGGAGGAGGACGTCTAAGGTACCCTGGCACCTCGCTGCCTGCGCCCTAGCAACCAATGATGCTGTGTGTCAGGCCACCAGCATCCTATCAACCAAAGATGCTATGCAGCTGGCTGCCAGCATCTTATCAACCAACAACAGGGGGAGGACGGGCAGCAGAAATGGCCATCTTAGGTGGCAGAGGCACAGTCATGTTAAAGATGATATGAAATTTGAGTGTTTGGGTTTAACTGCCCACCCCCAGGTGTTTATATGTCATCAAAGTAGGTGTGACAAACGCTGGTGACTGGTCACTTGGGCACCCAGCACTGCATGGTGGTATGAAGGGGTGTAAGTCACTTGCTTCCCATACCCCTCTGTTCCCAGTGGCCCCAAGGAGCGATGAGGGGACCAAAAAAAGGTGGAGAGAAACAGCTGGGGGCTTTGAGATGGCAGTCTGATGATCCTATTACTTTGACCTGCCTGTGCACAGGACAGGTTCATTTTAAACTGAACATTAAAATACAGGATGACTTTGCCATGCTGTCTGGCCAGCTTGGTGACTTGACAATGCTAGTAGACTCTGATTTTAGATTATTCACCGAGTGGCGCTTTTTACCACCTGCTCTCTGCAGCGGTCTTGCTCTGAATGTGGTTCAGAGATTACAGAAGCATTTCCATGACACAGCAGTACTTATAGCTCTTATCTGGATTGTTGCTGAGATGCACTAGCGCTCCAGATACTCCCTGGGCAATGGCACAACATGTTGTGATGAGTCTCCATGGAGCAAAGCTTGTTGATGAGCCTTTAAGGGTAGCTAAGAAAATACTGTGATTGCAGCTTAGATGTAATGGGGTTTTCCACCTTAATATAAAACCAAACGTGACACAATGGGGTTAATTTACTATAGGAGGTGAGAATGATTACACAATAGACTGTGTGAATTTCCACTTCAATTATCCATTCATGTGCAGATGTAATAAGGTATCAGGAATTTGCTT